CACTCATAGGAGGGCTAAACTAGGTAAACCTAGGATCCTTTGGAAGAAGTTACATGGAGCGACAGCTGATGACTTTAGGAGTAAGGTTTTGTCTAATACAGGTTTTGGAATTACAAACTCAAATAATGCAGATTTGTTATGGAAAATTATGGCAAATTCCATCAGAGAGGTGGGCAAAACACCCTGGGTTGTCGACAGGGAAGGCCAAGGAACATAAAGAATCGTGGTGGTGGAACGACGAAGTCCAAACTAAGGTGAAGACAAAGCAAACTTGCTTCAAGGAGTTTTTACAATGCAATGACGACGAAGAAAGGTCGAGAGCTAAACAAAGATACAAGGAGGCAAAGCGGAAAGCCAAGAAAACGATGGCTAAAGCAAATGATAAGGCATACGAGGAAATGTACAAGAGATTAGACACCAAGGAAGGACAAAACGATATCTTTAGGCTTGCAAAATCTAGGGAATAGGAAAAGGATCTAGGTAGCATTAGATTTATTAAGGACAAATGGTGTTCTTATAGCGAAAGATCATGATATTAAGAGGTTTGGGTAGTTACTTCTTTGGCTTATTTAATGACGGTGTCTCTCCCTGTAGAGATAGTACCGTTGATGGGTCATCCGACCATCATACTTCGGCCAATGACTGCCCTACAAGTAGGATTGGGTTTGAGGAAGTCAAAATGGCTCTTAGAAAGATGGGAAGGGACAAAGCTGTCGGTCCTGATCAAATTCCTATCACTGTGTGGTTGGCCCTAGGAGAAGAGGGAGTTAAGTGGTTGACCAATATCTTTAATATTATTTTAGAGACTGCCAAGATGCCAGAGGATGGAGAGAGTCCACGGTGATACCAATCTATAAGAATAAAGGAGATCCCCAACGTTGTGGTAACTACAGAGGTATTAAACTACTCAGTCATACCATGAAGCTATGGAAGGGTGATAGGCTAGGTTGATACAAGTACTAGGGTTTCAGAAAACCAATTTGGCTTTATGCCAGGCAGGTCTACCACGGAGGCGATTCATCTACTTCGACGACTTATGGAGAAATATAGGGAAAAGTCTAGAGATCTTCACATAGCGTTCATTGACCTTGAGAAGGCTTATGATAGCGTTCCTCGCGATACGATTTGGAAGACTTTGGAAACGAGACGGATCCCAACTATTTATATCCGGGCGATTCGTGATATGTATTGTAGATCTACTACATACGTCAGGACTACAATTGGCGACACCGAGGCATTCCCGGTGGAAATCGGACTCCACCAGGGGTCGGCTCTTAGCCCTTACATCTTCGCCTTGATTATGACGACATCTGTTGTGCGACACCAGACGGTGTACCATGGTGTATGCTTTTCACTGACGACATTGTCCTAGTTGCTGAAACAAAATCTGAGTTGAATAGTAGACTGGCTACCTGGAAGACTGCTTTGGAAGAAAAAGGTTTAAGGATCAATATTGATAAGACAGAGTATTTATGTTCAAACTTCAGTAGGGACCAAAACGAAGAAGATGTAAAAGTATGCATAGAAGACACGTTCTCACTCAAAGAATTGTTTCAAGTACCTAGGGTCTATGACATAAAGATGGGGGTAGATGATGAGTTACACTGTATAAAGGCGGGATGCTAAAGTGGAGGGCCGCTACTGGAGTTTTTGTGACAAGAAGGTGCCTCTAAACTTAGGGAAAATTTTATAGATGGCAATAAGACCCGGTTGTATGGATCGAATGTTGGGCAACCAAGAAGATCATGTAAGGAGGATAGAGGCCGCAGAAGAGAATGCTTCGATGGACATGCGGTAGGACTCTATGGGATATGAAACAAACTCTGCTATTATGATGTCCTTGGGGTGGTGCCTGTTTCCGAAAAATTGAGGGAAGGAAGACTACGGTGGTTTGGGCATGTCCTTAGGCGACTACCGTCAGATGCGTCGGAGGTAGAGTCGATTACAGTCGACGGTGCCAGAAGAAGATGATGACCAAGGCGGAAGTGGGAAGACTGCTTGAGATCTGATTTGATGGATTAGCCCTTACCGAGGACATGACCTCTGATAGGAAAGTATGGAGACTTAAGATAGGATAGTCGAGTAGTGTGGTCACATCTCTAGGTATCATCTCTGTCTTCTTTTAATGCCTTTGTAGTAATTTCCATGACTTATACTTTTATTCGTTCTGTTATGGTATTATGAAGGCTTAGAACTGGGCTTGCTATCGTTTGACTTATGTGTATCATTCTCTCCACTTTTAATTTTAGTCGGGTCTTACGTTTCTGTCTATATACAGAGATTTTTTGCAGGGATTTTTTTTATTACTGCCCATTACAGACGCGCATATGATATATGATTTAATAACTGCATATTACGTTCAACTATGTATTTTTGTATTTATTTATACATGCATTGTATTTTATCTATATTTTTAATTTCCTGATTGCCAGAGGTCTTCCACGGAAGCTACTCTCAACCTGGCGTTGGGGGCAGCCTACTATCCTACCTCCCCCTTACCCCATTGCATATGGGAATTGGGTTTTGTGTTGTGTTGTGTAAACTATATTTTATAAATTAAACTAATAATTTTCCTTTGCATTATTAATCCTGTTTATCTAATTTACATTTAAATAATTTTATTAATAATTTATATATAGGTCTATTTATTAATTTAATTATCATAATAATATTTTATAAATTTAAAAAGTAATCATATAATTTTTAATTACATCATAAGCTAAAAAACTCATAATTTTATTAAAATCTTATAATTTCGTCCATGGTAATATATAAGTCAGGTAAATATCAGATCAAGTCATTAACAAGTTAGATCATTTACAGGTTAAGTTAAAAACAGGTCAAGTTGAAAACAGGTCGGGTAATACCAATTATTTACCAGGTTAATCTCGGGTTTGGGTTTATATCAGTCGGATGTAGTTAGGGTTTGAGTATCATATTTTCAGTTCAATTCGGGTTTAGGTCGTTCTCAGGTCGGATGCAGGTCGGGTTCGGATCCACAATTTCCAGGTCCAACTCGGGTTCAAGTTAACACCAGTTTTGACTCGAGTCGATTTCGGATCGCCACAGTGCAGATCAAAAACAATTTTAACTCGAGTCGGTTTCAGTCAGTTTTGCAGTTCGGGTCAGCTTTTTACAGCCCTACTTGAGAGATGTTTCTACATAAGTTTAGAGAGAAGTATATTGGAGATATGCATATCTTTTTATCCCTTTTTATTCTTTCTTTTATTTTAACCTAATATGTGTCCATATTATCGTCACATAGACAAAAGGCAAGTCCTACAAGACACACTTTCAGAAACATTTTAATATAATATGCATTTGTCCCACGTGGCACAAAAGTATATCAATTCGGGAAATAATAAAAAATAGGTGCTAAAATAGGAAATAATTTTAATGGCTTATATTTGGTTAAAAAAACCGTTATGCGTGGCCTCAAATATATATTTTTAATAGATTGAGATTAGATAAAACTTGCTAGATTTGGTTTATTTTTGCCATCCTAATAATCAGTGAGAATATATATAAACATATTGACATGATAAAGATTATAACATTTCTCAAAGGTTGGACCTGTTTAAGTAACCTGGATAGAGAGTTATATTCTAAAAGGGACAGAAGTAATGCAACTAATATATCTACTCCAAGTTTGGACTAAGTAATCATTGTTGCAGCAACAGGGGTGATGGAGGGTGAAATGGACGGGGTTATAAACGTTCAAACATCTCTGTAGATGTTGGTGTTCGAACCCTAAAATTTTAAAGACAATGACTATCCATTTAATTGCTGAAATAATTTGATTCGTGTAAAATATTCTCATATAATTTATTTTATAGAAGCCTCTACTTTTATTAAAAAAAGAAAAATATTCAAATTACAATGAAGGGTTACAACTAAAATCGTAAACTAAACATATAATAAGACATTTTCCTAATAGTAAGACATTTTCCTAAACACAAACAATCTAGCCACTTAAGATCACACAAGGACCATACAAGGGAAAAGTTTAAAAAACCTAACTAAATAAACTCGAACAAAATATAGATACGAATAGATCTAACTGCATCGGTAAACGAACCACAAAATATGATGAAACTATTGAAAGAACACCGAACAACTATAAATCAAAATCGAGCGACGTGAATATACTATCTACGAACACAAATCGCATATCCAAATTCAATCCGAGGGTCCAAAGCATGAAAGATCAGCATGACAACAAATAAGCATCATCTTGATCAGTCGTGGCGATGTCAAATCTAACCCTAAAAAAATAAAAAAGAAGAACAACCACCAAACAACCGAAAACATGCCTTAAAAACAGAGAAAAATGTGTCATAAAGGCAGAGTCGACAATTAACACCAAGACTAGTGCCGTCAATCACAAAGATGAAGAAGATAAAAACTAACTGCAGTTAAGGAAAAAGGGGAAAAAATAGGGCAATGGAATAATATTCTCATATAATTAAAATAGATTAAACTACGAATGAATCATAATACAATATAATTAAGATTTTAAGATAGTAAGTACATCGAATGAATTATTGGATCTATATAATTAATCAAATATCCTGATCAAATCAAATAATGAAACAATATAAGACGGACAAAAAGCCGTTAACCCTTCGTTTTCGTAATCATGAAATCATCAAAGCGACAAACGAGATTGTAAATTGAAAGAACTATCCGTTTTCCTTTTATATTTTACATTACTTTTCTTTTGTTGGCTGTTCTGTTTCATGTGAGATCGTCTAGTGACCGTCACGAATCGCTGTTTCATGTACTGTTAAAGTTTACAACTTTAATCATGATAGTCACCTCCACCACCACCGCCACTTCGTTTGATTTTCCTTTCCTTTTAATATTGAATTTCATTTATTTGCACCCATCACGGCTGCTACTACTGTCTTTCAATCATTAAGATACATCAGAAACGTGGATTCAGTCATTTAAAAATGAAAAACACAGATTTTCTGGCTACAAGAGTCTGCAATTTGAAGTATTTCAATATATATAATCCATAAAATAAACGGAAAAAAGTGATACTGATAAAAGAAATGAAAAAGTAAGCATGCGAGGAATTATTCATGGGTGTTCTTTTAAGGATTCATGGACATAGCTTCCATGTGAAAGTTCTGTTAACCATTCAAACGTTCGATTACGTAAGAAAACTTGCTTTTCTTTCCTTTTCTTCTTCATCTTCAATTCTTGCAGAAGCTTCTTCTCGTCTTCCATGGCGTCAATTTTGTTGCTGCGTTTGATCACCGTTATGTCGTTCAATGGAACTGTTTCGACTGCATTAACCGAACATTTACAACCACTCAACGATCCTATTCTCTTCCCCAGGAACCCTTTGTTAAAATTTTGCGGATTTTTTACTACTTCACCACTTTTGTTAACAATCTTGGTTGTGCTTTTCTTGGTGCTTGAACTGTCGTTACTGCTATAACTATTACAACTGTTGTTTCGGCTGACGGAAATTTTATTGCCGTTGTTGTTGTTGCTGCTACGAGTTTTCAAGTCTGTTAATTCGAGCTCTGGTGCTCGAACCAAGCCTAACCTGAAAAAATCCCACATCGATGATTTCGGGTTTCGCCTGCCGACATTTACTGGCCGATGAGCTCTGGACGATCTTATATGAGGTTTTGGACTTGGATGTATGTTGAAGTTGTTTCTGGTTTTCACTGGCTTTGACTTGTAATAACTTGAACTGTCATTTGAGATGGAATTGAAGCTGCTGCTCCTGCTACTGCTACTAACACTAGTAAACCTACTCAATGAACCATGGTCCATGGATTCGGACCTTGACAAGCTATCTTCGCGGCACCCTGTGAGCCCACTGGCTGAGCTAACTGAGAGACGGAGGGGCAGAATCTGGCCTTGAAAGAACACTTCATCAGCAGCACACATTTCCGGTTAAGTTGAAAGAGAGCCACACAAAAAACCAAAGTTGAAATCTTCATCGGTTTTAGTTGCTTGGGATTCTTCGTCATCTTCATTCCTTGTGTGAATTTGGTTATCTTCTTTAATCAATTGGACTGGCAGATCACACAATGACGATGCTTCATCGTCCTCAGCTTCCCGTTTCCCTCCATCATCACAGTTAGTTGTAGAAGTTGTAGAACATCCCATGGTTTGAAGTAAATACAAAATTACAAACTGAAAGTTTCGTAATTCAAGAACAGTGGTAGGGTGTTCCTTGGAATTGCAGAAAAGTGGGTTTTATACAGCAAAAACTAGGCAATTTTGAATTGCAGAGAGAGAAATAGGGAGACAAGTGGAATATAAACAATAAAAAGCTACTGCAAAAGGTACAACGGAAAATGAACAAGTCAGTGCAGGCGAAGCAAACAGGGATATTTTCTTGTCCAACAATGGAATATAGGGCCTAGGATCTCCCACGCTAGCCATTAGCCATTAGCCATTAGCCATTAGCCATTAGCCATTAGCCATTAGCCATTAGCCATTAGCCATTAGCCATTAGCCATTAGCCACTTTCACCGATACAATTGTGGAGGCCTAAAGAGGTTAACAAAAGTTTATGCTCTGGTGGGGCTAAAACCAAAAGAACATTGGAATAAAGCTAAAAGACAATCTAGGACTAGGCCTGCAAAATTTTTATAATTGTTATATAACCATCTACTTTTTGAGCATGAAATTTGGAAGAAAAAATGGGATGTTAATGTTCATTTATAGTGTCAACAAAACTGCAAGTATTCACGTCATTTCAACAAATATAGTGTGTCAACTAATATAGTGTGTCGTAACCGATTTTTTTTCGGGAACAAAATTTTACTTACCAGGAAAAATAATGTGGATAAATAAATGGTTTTTAATGAAATATTTTGGGAGTCTTCATCGGCCTTTTGGGTCAGGTAGGTCGAATACCTAAAAATCATCTTTTAAAAGAGTTTTTAAGAAAACATCAGTTAAAAGATAAACTGTTCTGCTTTTAACCAAAAATTCATTCTTTTTAATAATAAAAAGGGATTCGTGGTTGATTACGTTTGGAGAAAGATTAAAACCCCCACAACGCCCAAAATTGGTCCTTGTCGATTATAAATTGTCTCTAATAGTAGAATTTAAGAATTAACATATAAATTTAATTTATGATCCTATTATTTCGAATTTTAATCGGATAATTCTAAGGAAGAAAAAGATATTAAATAATTTTTATAAATTATAAAAATATTTATTTATTTAAAACATCAGAAAATGGCATCTAGTTGCTTTAAGACTGCCCTTTTTTAATATTTGAAAAATAAATAAATATAAATAAAACATTTCTCTAAAAAATATATTAATATATATAATTTATAAAAAAATATGATATTTATTAAAAATATTAGAAAATGACTTCTAGGTGCTTTAAGACAGCAATTTTCTTAATATTAAAAATAAATAAATATAAATAAAACATTTCACTAAAAAATAGATTAATATATATAATTTATAAAAATAGGATATTTATTAAAAATATCAGAAAATGACTTCTAGTTGCTTTAAGACATCTCTTTTCTTAATATTAAAAATACATAAATATTATTATTTAAACAAGTGTATATATATTTATATGACTAAAATAATACTAAAATAATAATAAAAGTAATAATTTAAATATATCAAAAGTAATAATAAAAATAAAATTAAATATAACTAAACAGTGACTAAAACAAATAAAATTAAAATAATAGGATTAAAATAAAAAACTTATAATATTAAAATATAAATATTGAAATTAAAGATACAAATTCGAAACATTATAAGAGATAGTGATTAAAGGTGTAATTTACCCTAATTAGTTATTCAGGACTAAAATGAAAATTAATAAAATTAATGGTCTAAATATGTTATTTTACCTAATATATATATAAGCATATTAGTGACTAAATTATAAAGAAAATTAAATTACGAGACTAAAATAAAATGTATGAAAATTTATTATAGCGACTAAATTATAATAAAGAATAATTAAAATATATAATTAAAACGTATGAAAATTGACTTTAATGACCAAATTGTAAACTTACAGAACTCAGAAAGACTACGGAAACGGTTTACCCATTCCCTTAATTACGCATAGGTCCCTCATCAAAACGACCCTAAAGGGCCAAATTCTTTCATTTTCTTTTTTTTCTCTCTCTACGGAGAGAAAGTTCTCTCCCTTCTCTCTAAAAGTATCCGGCCGCCGCCTTGCTCTAGCGCCGTCAGCCACCACCCACGGTGGCCAGATTTTACAAAAATACCCAAATCAAATCCCCAATTTTTCTATACCCGAATTTAAGGTTGTTTTAACCTAAAACCTTACCAATCGTCGTAGATCTAGGTTTTTTACCTTCGGTTTTCTGTGGTTCCATGGTGGTTTTAGAGGCTCTTACGAGGTATATTTCTCCTCTCTCTTCCTAGCTTTCGAATGGCTCTTTATTAATGCTTGGGTTTTCTTTTTTTTTTGCTTGCTGTTGGGTTCTCGTTTGCTGTGTGTGTGTTTTGGCTTGCTCTTGGGTTACTGCTGTGGTCCCTTTCTTTTGCAGGTTCAGTGGCCATATTATAGTGGTGACTCACCTTGTAGCTGCGACGTGGGGGTAGCTGGCTCTTCTAGAGGTTTCATCGAGGCGGCAACATCGTGGTTGTAGCGGGTTAAGTCACCTGGCAATGGGAGTGTCGGCAGTGGCGTGACAGAGGTGGCTGGAAGTTCCTTTGGTCCAAGGTGACAGCTAGGAGTTAGGGTTTAGAAACCCTAGTAGTAACCCTAAACGGGTGTTGAGTCTATTAGGCCAGATTGGCTTCTGTTGGCCGGGTTTGTATATTTTGGGCATGTAATTTAATAATAATAATAATAATAATAATAATAATAATAATAATAATAATAATAATAATAATAATAATTGTAATAATAATAAAAGAAAAAAGAAAAAAATTAGTGTCTACAGCTGCCCCTCTTTGCTCATTCTTGTGTTAACAAGAATAGAGCAAAGACGAAAAGACAATAATTTTTTCATTTGGCTTCTTTTGAGTACAATGGAAATGTTGAAAACATTCTGCCCAGAGGTCTTATGAATGACCCTGAGGTCTTATCATCTTGCACTGTAGGTCTTACAGATGACCCGGAGGCTTTAAAAACATCAAAAAGCTCCCGAAGGCTTTTTGAAAACATCATGCACTGTAGGTCTTATGGATAACCAGGAGGTTTTAAAAACATCAAAAAGCTCCCGAAGGCTTTTTGAAAACATCCTGCACTGTAGGTCTTAGGGATGACCCAGAGGCTTTAAAAACATCAAAAAGCTCCCGAAGACTTTTTGAAAACATATTGCAGTGTAGGTCTTACGAATGATCCGGAGGCTTTAAAAACATCAAAAAGCTCCCGAAGGCTTTTTGAAAACATCCTGCACTACAGGTCTTACGGATGATCCGTAGGCTTTAAAAACATCATGCACTGTAGGTCTTATAGATGTGGGAAATAGTTTACTAAGTAAGAAACTATGAAAATCATTTTCTTACTATTCAACAATTTCATTTTAAGAAAAGATTAAATGAGAAACTTTCGAAAGCGTTTTCTCATTGAAATAACTTGTTGATTGGGTAACATGCCTCATTTTAAAATAATGCTTATTCTGTGGATTGCGTCCATCTATTCTTCAGATGCTTGTGTGATTCCTACATTCAAGGTTTTGAATTTTACCTTCTTCTTGTAAGGTATCATGAATCTTCTTTTTTCATACGAAGATCTGTAAAACTTCATGTATCAATGTAATGCATTGTTTATTATGCAAATGATGTTCTTATGAATGCATGAATATTGATGCAATCTTCATTTGACTTCAAAGTGGTAAACTCGGCCTTCCTTCACTTGAACATTTATTTCCAGGGTTACTTTCGGATATCAGTGTAGCAACCTATGTTATAAAGCTTTCATTTTTGAAGAACCATTTGATCAACTTGTATCTTTGTGTATTATTTGCTTTATTTGAGTCTTAGAATAAATGTTTCATTTATGGAACTCTGGCCGCAATCAGAATTATGACCTTGATGTCCTCATTTTTTTCTTTGATAACATCGACTTTCTTTGCTTGGACTTGTGTAAAAATCCAATAAAGCTTTCATCTTTGGAAAGAGAATCTATCATCTTTGAAGAGATATGTAGATATGTCAAACTTAGTATAAATTAATTAGGATAGCAACGTCTGTTCTGATTTGATTCTTGAAACACATCATAAGGAGGATTTATCCTAATTCTTTTCAGGTCTCCAAATCTAATCAGATCTCGAACAAAGCCATTCAGATCATATCATGTCAAGATGCTTAACAACAACCTGTCGTTCAACCTTAGTTGGATCCACTAGTTTCTTGTTTGTTAAAATTTCTGCTTCCCTTCTGTGGAATGAAATCTTCACCATATCTCACTTCTAACCTTGGGGTTGAAGAAGACAAAATTCATCTTGGATCAACAAATGGAAATACCATATGATCACAACATTGGTCCAATATCAGAATAACTGGTTCGTAAAACATTTGACAACACATTCATCATTTCTTGTGATTTCTGCACAGATGTTTCGTAAACATTTAACAATACATTCATCATTTCCTATGACTTCTGTACAAATGTCTGGTCAATGAAGCTCTTTTCATAATGTTTAAAGATTTTGTATGTTGTCACAAGACCACTTGAGAACAAAACTCAATGGGAATATAAGTGAGATGTTGGCGTGTTTCATGACCAAAAAGTTGGTCAAATTCACGAGATATGCTAATGACAAATTGAATAAGAGATACCAACTGGTCTTGATAACATCTCGGGCAAGGGCTAGTGTGATACCGATCAAGTTTTCTTCCATAATGAGTGTTGTAGGAAGTAGAAACATATCAGCTATAGGAGTCATGTATAGAAAGAGGTCCATGGAATTCTTGCTGCTGTAGATGAAACGTACATGATAAACCAAATAGATGAAAACTTAGTTCAGCCTAGCTGGCAATGATATCCCCAGTAACAATGAGAATAAGGGTAATGTACGTAATTTGAGCCTCTAATGTCATCAAGTAAACAAAAATTGATGTGTAAAACAGCTTCGTAACCCCAATAGTATAGTTGAAACTAACTGCCAGAAATCTCAAAGAAATATTTGCAATCATCACCGACACACAGAATACAAAAATCAAAGCCGAGATTTTGAGGAACTGAACCCTAGATTGAATGGTCTGCATGGGGGCCATCATTATCCATGCAACTGTGATGTATCTTAACAAAGAACATGCTATTATGTGACACATGGTTAAGAAGATTGGGTATTTGAAATCATACTTGATGAGTAAATATTTGTTCAACAACAGGACCCTAATGTAACTGTTTGATGAACGAAGCAATTATGTATAGTCAGCTCGACTACCACTGCAAAATATATCAACATTCTTGATTCT